GGCGAGCCAGCATGTCCTCCATCCTGCCGTTCACCCCTCCCATCGTCGAGCGGCTGCTGGGCTGGAAGAAAGGGGAGCAGAACGGGCAGGAGGAGAAATGGTGCGAGAAGGCGGTGAAGAGCCTGGTGAAGAAGCTGAAGAAGACGGGGCAGCTGGACGAGCTGGAGAAGGCGATCACCACGCAGAACATCAACACCAAGTGCATCACCATCCCCAGGTGAGCGGGGGGAAATCGGGGGGCGGCCCGGAGGCCTCGGGGAGCAGCGTTCTGCCGAGGGGCTCGGCGGGCTCGGGGGGGGTGAGGAGAGGGCTCTGCAGCCCCGCCGGTGCTGCTCCTCTCCTGCGTGCTCTGCTCTGGCTCTGTGTGGAGTTTAAAAACAAAAATAGAGAAAAGCGGCAAAACCCGGCTGCAGAACGGGCTCTCTGGCTGGTGGCGAGAGAGGGAGAAAAAGTAAGAGGGGGACGTAGGGGAGAGAATTCGTCTCCAGCCGAGATGGAAGGGAAAAAGAAACGCCAACCCCCAAACTTGGGAGCTTTGGAGGGCAGATATGGTGGAGGTCAGAAGTTTCAGCGTGTCCTCCAGCGCTGTTACATTCAGGTTTTCCTCTGGTGAATGTATCGGGGAGAATGGTTTTGTTTGGGTTGCTTGGCTCCTTCCATGTTGGCTGGACAGAAATGACTCTGACGAGGTGGGTCAGAGCCCTGCTGTGCGTACGCTTTCAAATTACTTTTAAAATCGGGAGGGCGAATGGCACAGCTGAAGGGGATTGTTTGGAGCCCAAAAAAAGCGTGCGAGTATGAACAGAACCAACTTCTTTTTTCATTTTTTGAGTTAACGTTATTTTTAGCCTCTCCACAAGACCATTATAAATCCTAGAGGACGCATGGATAAGTATCCCATCTAAGAAAAAAAATCTCCAAGTAACTTTCAGATAGCTGGCCAGGAGCAGAGTTTTATTGCTGAAGATTTGTGGATTTCTGTGAGCTCGGCCAGATGACTGCCGATTCTGTTACTGATTGTTTGAGGGTTGCTTGGGTTTTTTTTTAAACAAAGGCCAAAGTTCATCCCAAATATTTGAACGCTGCATAATTGTATGCTTCTGCGTGAGAAGCTATCTCTGTGTGTGTGTATTCATGCTTCTCTCTCGCGCAAACAAATGTATGCTTTCTTGGTTGTCAGAATGATTTAATATGCAGTAGCTAATACAAAGCAGCATCTGTTGCATGAAAAAGTGAAGCAAGTAGCTTAGAAATGTGGCTATTTGGAACTCCTAAAATTTTCTTCCAGCAACTGTAGTGGGGTTTTTTTAAAGGAAAAATAAAGTCTCCTTATCTTTTTGGTGCTGAATGACCGTGGCCAAGATTTTGTCCGGTAATCCAAGTAGACGTCTCAGCCTTTGTTAGAGTCACTCTGGCTTTGCCTAGCTGAAGCAGATATCAAAACCTGTAGAGCTGCCACCTGATACAAATGCCTTAAAACCTGTATTTTTAAATTCTTGGTAAGCAGTGTGCTTTACATGCAGATAATGCCCTATTTAAACCACTTCCCTGAAATACTTACCATTTGAAAAGGAGAAAATGACTTGAGCGGCCCTGCTGATGTGACCTGGGTATTGTGTCTAGCTGATGCTGACCTGTTAGGGAGCAGAGCCTGAAGCCTGTTGTTACTTCTTTTGCTGGTAACAAGGTGGTTTAGATAAGGGGGGAAGGTTTTGATATTTTGTGACTCAAAGGAAGCAAAGAGATGGGTGGAGTAGGGTGCTTTAATTTGGAAAAAGAATTTTAAAGCTTGAAAATGAGTAGCAATGCAAGTAGATGTCACAAGTCATAAATATCACCTCCAGAGATTGTCCTGGCTCTTCCTACTGCGCGAAAGTGAATGCCTGTTTCTCCTAGACCTTGCTCTGTTAAAGGAAATCTGCACAGAAATGAAAATATTTCATGTTCACTTATGACACAGAGCCTAGATCCTGCAGATCTTAAACCTTGGTATGGGGGAAGTGTCAGCATATTTTGATGGCACCTCCTTATGCCTTGGCACTAGTTTTTAAACACACCACCTCATGTGTACTTTTATTTTTGTTGAGGATGTGCGTTACAGAGAGCCAAATGAGCGTGGTCAGGTTGGTCTGTGCTGGACCCTCTGCAGCAGCGTGCTGAGAGGTCAGTGTGTATCAGAGATTGCAGAATGGTGTGGATGTGTGAAACAGCTTGTCTGGAAGGCAGTGGCAGAGCTGGAACTGTAACCAGGCCTTGTGACGTTAAGAGTGGTATCTTCTCCTCTGGACTGTGCTGTTTGTCCTAGTGTATCTGTAAATCTGATTATCGTGTCATTTGAAATTAGCATTTGCAAGACGATTTTAGTATGGTTTTAGTTTGATTCTTATGGGTTTTTTTAAAATAATTCTACATATTTCATTTTACTATTTAGTCAAATAAGTATGGGGGGGGGGAACCATCGTTAAGGATTAGGTCATGTTGTGCATTGTCTGTAATGCATCAGTAGACTGAATTACAGTGGAGCTATGCCAGTGATGACTCTGGCCCAGCAGGAGTAGGATAAGTCCAAAATTAGCTATTGTATCCATGAGACGAAGCAAGTTTCAGATGTAAAAGTGCTTGAGCTTTGCAGAAACGTTGCTCACGGGAATAAGGGCTACACAGCAAATTCCTGTAGTGATCAGGTGGGATTGCTTTAAGAAAGAACAAAAAAACCATTAATTTTTGTTGTAGGGCTAAGGAATTAGAATACCAAATTTATTCCTTTTTATATACATACTGCATTCTGTCTCCTGACAGATTATTAAACGATGAATAGTTTATTTGCTTTTGTATGTTTGTTCAGCATGTGTTACTTTTCCTAGTGCTCCATTTGTAAGATGATGTGACAGACACCTCGGGCTCCAGGTTTTTGTGTTGGAAGGACCTGTGGCAGACAGCAACAGGCTGGAGAGACCTTCAGGTATTTCAGTGTAACACTCCGATGTTGGCAGGATTTTTCCTTCTTGTTTTTTTTTCTGCTGGAGCAAGAAGTAATTTCCAGCTGAAAAACCTACCAGCCTCAAACCATCTGATTGTTTCTTGTGCCACAGCTACTGGTGCTCGACAGAGTGGCTTGTTCAGAGGACCTTCCTCCCTCCCTCCCTCCTTTCCTCCTCGGGCGTGCTGCTGCCAAAGCCTGTCCTTCGGAAGGGAGCTGCTTTTAAACCTCTACGCACTCAGCTTTGGTGTCAGGAGCTGACCTAGTGAGTTGCAGCCAGCTGGGTCTGCATGGCAGTAAGACATTTTTTCATTCTGTGTTGGGTGATAAAGTTGAAAACACACATTCTTTTGCCCATTAAAATACATCCTTTGTAGTACTTGCGTTGATCTTGAAAGCCTAGCTTTCAGGATGGGCATTTTTGAGCTGCGGCCTCTCGGCTTTGCTCTGTGAGCAAGCTTAGGTCAGCTCCAGCTGCAGTCAGCTTTTTTGAGTTTTTGATGGCTGTATTTACTTCTGAGACTAAAGAGTACGGTAAGTGTTAATCTGAGGGCAGCAAAGTCTACAGCTGACTTTATACCTGCAGAACCCTATGGACTTCATCGTTGGGAGAAGAGCAACAAGTTTCTAACTCTATTCCTGGTCTCCAGAGAGGCTGTGCTGTGCACCTGACAAACTGTCAGCATTTTGCCCTAGAAATACAGTGTGTTTGGCTGAACTGCGATGAGTGTTTAACTTTTTACCTATGCAGGTGTCTGAACTGCAGAAACCAGGGTCATGTGATGAGCACTTAGTAATTTCTAAAAGCTGTGCAGTATATATAGTCTTGCTGATAGCAGACAAGATAGTAAATGCTGTGTTTCTAGAGCTTCAGTGGTACTACAAATATTAAGACATAAATCTCATGACATTTTGTGATACATTTTCATATGCATATTTTTCTTTTGAACTTATTACTGTTGGGTTTTTTTTTCTATCAGTAGTGGTTTTAGGGGAGCCAGGATTCTTGTATGTAAGGAACACCTTCTTTTAAGTGGTGTTTTTTTAATTTAGAAACTAGTTTTGAAGAGAGGCGGGTGTTGTTTCTTGTGGAACTCATCTGATAAGGGCAGAATGTACCAACTAAAATGGAAACATGGCACGTTTGCTTTGTAAAAGCAGCTCAATAAGGTGTTCCTTAAACGATTTACATTTTGGTGGGGAAGACCACGGACAATACTCAAGTGATTTTAGGAACTTCTTGGGCGTGAGCATACCTTCTGTTGTGTCGGTAGTTGACTGCACAATGTTTACAAGAATCGACCGTGTTCTTAGGATTGGCTTGATACCAGGAAAATATGAAAACTGTAAATACAGTAAGTGACTGTGAAATATCTTCTGCTTTGGAGACTGGTGCCCGTCTGGTTTCAGGAATAAGCAAAGGACCAGTCAGAGTTTTGTGTGTCCACGTGCAAATTTGTTGTTGTGTTTGTGTTTTTTTTTTAATGCTTTTAAACTACCTTGTTTTCAATTTGGCCTGTCCCTGTATGTGAGGAGCTTTAATATTGCATAGACTTGTTTAAGAGTGTCTGCACTTTAGATTATCATTAACGGTGGTCCACTGAAGACAGTAACAGTACAGTCCCTGTGAGCAAACACAGTCGAGCTGCCATTGTACCTGTTAGCTCCCTGTTGCCGGTAATTTTACTGCTACAAAACTGCGTGTGCTAACCTATGTACTGACCTGGCTTTATGGGCAGGTTTTTACAGCCCTGTCCTAACCTTTGTGCTGCTAGCAGTACCCACGTGAGCTAGCTTAGCTGTGGCAGTGATAGCTGCAGGGCAGACACCGCTTTGCAAGTTTTGTGGCGTTAGTGTGGCTGCAGATCAGGTCTAAAGGTGAAAATACGGTATGTAAGTGGACACGGGCCTTTAGTCAGGTGTACTTTCTGTCTGCAGTCCCACTGGTCCATCAGTACCTTCCTCCTCTTCCTCCTTGTCATCTCCCCACAGGGCAAACCCCACTCTCCGGGCACAGAGGTTCCCGCTCCCCGCAGCCCCTCCAGCCTCTTCTCCCAACTCTTGCATCGGAGTTACTCCGTCTTGTATTCGTGTGGATAATTGTGTGTGTAGTTGGCTTCTAGTCCACCCTATGCCATCTTAAAAACCAAAACGCTACTGTTACACCAAAGCAGTGATGTTGATACAACCATTTAGGGAGCGACTACGTGTTCAGTCGTGTTGGCAGAGATGAAGGA